ACAACGCAGCTGGTTAGAGGAAAATTACTCAAAAGCACATGTGTCAAACTCAAGGCCGGGGGCAAAATCTGGCCCGTGGTGGATTTTATTTCGGCCCGCAGGATAATTTCTAATTACTATTAGATCTAGCCCGCCGGTATATTGCACGCACACCTTCACTCCATCCTGAGGATCTCCTCAGCTCAGAGCCTGACCCCACACATTGATGACCTTGCACCCAAGATGAGATGCCAAGTATCTGAGCTAGCATCACAGAGCAGCACACTGAGTTTAATGGATGTTTCCTTCTGCACTTTCTCTCTCACGACAACAGGGCATGTTTGGTTTTTTCTTTGAGGGAAATAGTTTTGTTGAAGCTGTTGTTGGCCTGTGGGAAAATGTAATCATAAGAAATGACTCTGGAAAAGCTGCAGATAGAGCCATAAGAAATGAATGCAACTGATTATTTAATGTTTAATGTTGTTTTTATAGGCAATAATTTAAGCTTTGTTAGTTCCAGGTTTAGTATGTGTAATAAATTCATTTCAATACGTTTTGCAATAAACATTGAACCAGTCCGGCCCTCGACTAGTACCCATTTTTTTATTTTGGCCCACTGTGTATTTGAGTTTGACACCCCTGTCTACTGGGACATACGCTAGCCAATAGGAGCGCAAGTTTTACATAGTGATGTCATCACATTCCAGAACTTGGGGATTTGAGCCTTTGCAGACCATTTACATGCACAAAAACGAACACACTACAGAAAAGGGAAACCCTCCAAAAACAGAGCCTCTTTGAAAGGCTTAATGTTCCCTGTTTCCTGACAGTGCTGGTCCTAAAGGAGACAACATCTACGAGTGGAGGTCCACCATCCTCGGCCCCCCCGGCTCCGCGTACGAGGGGGGGGTGTTCTTCCTCGACATCGCCTTCACACCAGACTACCCCTTCAAACCCCCCAAGGTGAGAGCAGAAGTATTGTTGGCTTGCAGCGAAGCATTTTGACAGATGTCTCTATTTCAGAGGCGTCACTTTCATACTTCATATTCTCCACTAGAGGGCAGCAAAGCACTTTGACATGTAAGGCCAATCAGCAGTTTGTCATGGGTCATCTTTATTCCCTGGGTTCCTCTGTTATATTATATAAATTGATTAATTTAAATGGATTTAGGCATACGATAAAGCATGTTCCTTTTTCTTTTATTCATGCTGTATGGATTTGTTTTTGTATGTTGTAAAAATCCCAAAACAAATTTGACTTTCACTTCCCATATATCCAAAATTAAACACCTCATAAAATCTGACCTGAAAGCTTTTCTTAATCATCGGCCAATTTTCTGACATTCAGTATATATTTAATTTATTTAATAACTACATGTCTATAAGTGCATTTGTGTTGGATTAAAGTGAAGGACGTGTCAGAAATAAATTACATTTGACCTTCATGGGTTTGATATACATTTAAATTTGACTGGAATGACAAAGTTTACAATGCAACTGTCATTAGAGTTTGAGTTTAGCTTAAGAGAGTCTTGTAAATATATATATATATGTTGTGTGTGTGTAGGTGACTTTCCGCACCAGGATCTACCACTGCAACATCAACAGTCAGGGTGTGATCTGTCTGGACATCCTGAAGGACAACTGGAGTCCTGCTCTCACCATCTCCAAGGTGCTGCTGTCCATCTGCTCCCTGCTCACTGACTGCAACCCCGGTGAGACACACACACACACACTCACTCACTCACTCACTCACTCACACACACTCTCTCTCTCTCTCCATTCTACTACATTTAAAGTAGCCACTCACTCACTCACACACATTGTTACTTCCTGTTTATAATCGTGAGGTGTTGTTTGTGTTCTCAGCCGACCCTCTGGTGGGAAGCATCGCCACACAGTTCACCACCAACAGAGTGGAGCACGACCGGATAGCCAAGCAGTGGACCAAACGCTACGCCACATAATGAACCGCAGCATGGGGGGGGGATTTTTATCTCTGAAATGAAAATCTTAATCCTGACTTTTTGTTGTTTATTGTATTTTTATTATAAGTTATCTCCGACCCATTTATACCCAAGCCTGGCAATAATGAGTTTTTACTTTGTGCTTGAAGATGGATGCTGATGCTAATATGCTAACTGTGTCACAGCATGAATCCCAGTTCCAATTATATCAGTGTAACATATTCTCACGTGTTCAATTCTCCCTGTTTTTGGAAAAGGTGCTAAGATATGGATGGATGTTGGTTGTGATTTGTGTTCTCTTCCGATTAATAGCTTGTTCTGTTTCTCTTCAGTATTAAACATTACCAACTGCCTTTGTTTCAATCAGGAGAGACTTGTTTTTTTGAGTAAACACAATAACAACACACACCACTGGGGGCCAAGCAAGGCATCCAAACTGAGTAAAACAAATTGTATGGAAGGAACACGCGTTAGAAATGTCCGTTTAAGGCATCTAGGTGGCTTGGATAGAAATCAAGGAAGGAAGGAAGCCCTGACATATGTCGAGGAGGAAAATGAGGAAGAACTCGTTCAATTTGAATCTGGTGTTTAAATAAATTACCACTGCATGTTATTTGTTCATTTTCTTTGTTATTGGGGTACATGTTTGACGAGGGGCTTATAGTGTTTACAATGGTGGGGCCAGTGAAATAGAAAAACATAATAATTAGAATTCTGAGGAGAAAGAAATCTATTTTGTTCTAAACCCCCCCCCCCCCGATATTGTAGAAATTCTGAAGATTTTTTGGCAGGAGCGAAACGGCTACGTAGCTGCTTATGTCCTTTGTTTGTTTTTACCATGTCTCGTAGTTTACTCCACTGAGTGTACCAAGAAATACGTTTAGACGAAATATGTGTTTTCGTTTTTAGGTACGCAAAGCGCCGTAGTGGCACAAGTGACGTTCCTGCGTACCAGTTATGTGCACCCCCTGATTATCTTATTTGAGGAGACGGGGCTTCAGAAGAACACCAGCCAGGCGACGCCCCACTGTGTAAATCGTTAAAAGGATAATAGTCTGGCCTTCGATTCAAGTGCATGACAGACTCAGATCAAGAGCAATGTTCAAATGGATGGCGAGAATGCATCCATACAATTTTTGTTATTATTAATTCATTAAGTTAATCTATTGTTAGTGTACTGTATGAACACTACAAACATCATTCCATCTCAGTTTGCATGTGCTTACTACTATAAAGGGAAGAACTATAGTTTAGCAACATCAAATAATGTTTGATTGAATGAACTATTACCATACACAGGTAAAGGTTTGAATAGAGGTTTATTATCTGCAGTAAAGTGTTATTTACACTGTTAAGTACTTTTCCTTACATAGTATGATTTCTGTTCAATCAGCCCTGACGTCGTGGACACAACGCATCTGTCGTGTGAGTGTCTCGCTCTCGTGGCCAAGTCAGGCTGCTCTACACCGCTACTGACAACTGTACAGATAGCTAGTGCTGAAAGACGTCACTTCAGTTATTCTGTGACCATACCACCCATAATGCCACTATCCTAGTCATTTCTAATAAACAATAATATAAGATGCATAGTAAGGATAGTCTGCGCAACGCTGGTCACAAATATACTTCCTATGGCTGTCAATAAAACACATGTGCTAAAATCATACAAGCTGTTGATCATGCTGAAACAGCTGACTTCTAACAGTGCATTAAAACTCCTGCGCAATCACATAACAAATCACATAATGCATACGCAGGGCCACTGCCAACTGGTGAACTACGCCAACAGAATAGTTCGATTCCACTTAATCGGCAAGGCTTCATCTCTTACTGAACTCTGTTTGCTAGTGTGAGTAAGCACTGCAATGTAAACTAGATTTGATGAATGATATTGTTATATAGTTTAAAGCATGATTTTTTTAGATAATGTGATAATACAATCATTTTGTAACCTATACTATAGCACACAACTTAAACAGTATAATGTTAATAGATATGACAACTCTCAGAGCTATTAACCATAATTAAAAGAGACAATATCCTATGTAGGAGACCCTTGCCATGTTGAACATTGCTCCTTTGACAAGATTACATGATGTCATGCCATCATTTATACTTTGTCAGACAGTCTTAGACATTTATTGCAGAAGTTCCAGAGAAACATCACTTATCCCTTTAACGATTGGTACACTAACACTACAGGTTGGTTCGTACTAGACTCTGTTGGCGACTGTGCGCTCTATGATTTTTTGTAGATGCGCTCGCTCTCTCTCTCGCTCCACGACGATACTACGAGTCAATTGATAACAGACCTCAGTGTACCGTGGTTGGACACAGGTGAAGAAGTGGAACGGCGAGAGAAACGTGGCTCAGGTTGTGCACTAACCAATTCGCGCTCTCTTGCTGTAGACTCGCTGAAAAACAGAAAGCGCTGAAACACCATATTTCGTCTTAAACGTATTTCTTGGTAAACACTCAGTGGAGTAAACTACCGAGACATGTAAAAACAAACCAAAGAATAAGCAGGGGACACTGTAGAAAGAGGCTTTTCGCTCCTCGGTGCTCGAATCACAGTGAAATATTTATACTCCAGAATCCTACTTCAATACATGAAATGTGAGAGAGCCAAAAGTAGGTTGTGAGTGGGGGNACCCTGCAGCTACACACACACACACACACACACACACACACACACACACACACACACACACACACACACACACACACACACACACACACACACACACACTGTGTGTGTGTGTGTGTGTGTGTGTGTGTGTGTGTGTGTGTGTGTGTGTGTGTGTGTGTGTGTGTGTGTGTGTGTGTGTGTGTGTGTGTAGCTGCAGGGTACCGCTCACCTTGGGAGGTTTGAAGGGGTAGTCTGGTGTGAAGGCGATGTCGAGGAAGAACACCCCCCCCTCGTACACGGAGCCGGGGGGGCCGAGGATGGTGGACCTCCACTCGTAGATGTTGTCTCCTTTAGGACCAGCACTGGAAGTAAAAAAAAGGAGGACATTTTAGTGTTTAGAGAAACTAAACTTCATGTTCTCTGCAGCAGCAAAGGAGAGGATTCATCCGCCGCGGAAAATAGTCCCTCAAAAATATAGCATGAGGGCGATACTGTGGCGCTGATCTTGCATATATATGATATATATCAATCCTGGCGAGAACATGGCGCCCTTACACAAGATGGCGCCGCGGACATAAACAACAACGCAGTGTCAGAGCTCCGTAAAAACAAAGCTGTCTCTGCAGTAAATTTTCATATTTTTGGAGTCGTTAAACCGTTTTTGAAGAACAGAAATATTGTATTCTTTACATTTTACGTGAAAAATCTGCATTTTAGTATGAGGGCACACGCCGAAGCATCGCCCCGGTTACCCGCTTTAAACAAAACCATGTGCTATTCATGTAGATAACTGAGCCCTTTTTGAAAATTAAACTAGACATGTGAGAGTCTTTATCTAATATTTAGGTATTTTCATCATTGTGTTGCAATTCGTTTTTCTTGTATTTTGACCTAATTGTTATAGCCAGATTCTAATAAACTGGGTAAGGCTCTTATCCTGTAACTACATATTCTCAGCTGCAGCAAATGAAATAAAATACAGTGTGTGTGTGTTCGCGTGATAATCATCTGTTAAATCAGCCGCACTGAGCCGCTGTTTCAACTTCCTGTCATCAGATTATTGTGCTTTACAGCAGAGAGGATAACAAAGAGTGTCTGTGAGCCGGAGAAATGAGGAGTGTGATCAATGTCATGTGGATGACTGATCTGTCTGCAGCCAGGCGAGTGGGAAACACACACACACACACACAAAAAAACACACACACAAACACACAGTAAGTGTTGAGCAGCATTGGTGTCCTCACTGTTCACCGGCTGCTGAGCTCCATTGCTGCCTTGATTCTCGACAATAACACACACACACACACATTTCCACACACAGCTGCGAGGAGGGAGGCACTAATCCAATTCCATTTTCTATTGGAATTAGGCCAGATGCCCCTGTCGGTTTCTTGTATTACTTTCCACACACACACACACACACACACACACACACACACACACACACACACACACACACACACACACACACACACACACACACACACACACACACA